GTACAATTTCAGCCCGACCGTAACTTTTTTTCGGCGGGCTGTCGTGTGACTGACGTACGTGGACTGAACACGTCCACGTCTACGTGCTGTGCGGCGTGAGTCTGCGGACGCTAGGCGGCTCCTTTTGGACTTGACTTGTAGTTGTACTGCAGTGCAGTGCAGTGAGTGGTACGACTGCTGCCTTGTGCTGGTAGTACTAGTAGAGTCTACTCGATACGCGTACGGTATACAGTGTATTTACATGTACTAAAAAATATATTAAAAAAAAAAAAATCCGCCCGCCCGCCCGTAAAAAAAATGTCCATGTTAGTCGAACCACACACCTTCTTTAGTTTGGCCTTATGATTCTTTTTAATATTTCCTTCTCTCATAATATTATATTCGTTCTTAGCAGGAACCGGAGGTGTTTCCTCTGGTGAGAAGGCAGAATTGCCTGTGCTCTAAATGAATTCAAATAAAAGAAACAAACAAACAAACAACATTTGGATCACACGTAAAAGGCACTACAAAATTGTAGAGTATGCATTGTACATGTATGTGAAGGGTAGGCTGGGAGGCATTGGCAGATTCTGCTCGAAAAGGTGGCAGATTCTGCTCGAAAAGCAGTGAAATTGGCAGAACCATACAAACCGTGTGGTGGGCAATTCCTCGAATTTTGCTCCATTTCAGTGTCTGCTCCAGCGCCGGGTGAGCCGGGTAATCCACCCGGTTGGGCGGCGCTTGAACCCGGTTGAAAATATAGTACCGGGTCACCTGTGACCCAGTTGGTACTTTACACTTTCGAACTTTGAAAGGACTGACTACATGGCTTGTATGTGTCAGACTCCAGTACTTCTTCTTCTTTCGTAATTTTCTAATTCCTGTCCTCTCTTTTCTAAATGTGGCTTATCCATTCGCCTTTATATCATTGGGCCTAGTTCCCGTTTATTGTCCGAATTAAAATAAACCAACCAACCAGTTAAAGCATGTGACTCGGCTGGTGAGACAGCGCCAGGTACATGTGTACCCGGCCGTCCGACCCGGTTGAAATGGTTGCGCCAGGTACACGTGTACCCGGCTGTCCTACAATCCTAGAGCAGACACTGCATTTCTTTTTCCACATACCAAACATGCATGAAACCTACCAGAAAAAGTACCGAATTCTGCCAATTTTTCTGCTGGCATTATCCGCAAAGGCCTATAGGCAGGTCACCTAATTCTACATTGCACCTGAAACCTGGCAGATAATTATACAGTATGTGTTCGCTGGTCGCGCCTGAGCCTACGGTACGAATGTTTTGATTGCATTCATGACATGCACCCAGCGGATCTATTTCTAGTTATGTCACATGTACAATATCTGCCCTCCTACTACAGTCCATTTCAAAACTATAGACGCGTAGGATTTTTGAAATATTTCAAATTTGGCTGGAGATTTTTGAGAATAGTTTTCGGAATATTGCTCAGGTCCGCTCCACAATTACTCTCATCTAGTTTCTAAACGATTGGATAACAGACGCCCAATTTGGAAAAAATATGCACAAAGTGATCACAGATTTTATGTGGTATAGATGCTGGCATAACGGTTTTTGCCTAGGTACGCGTCTATAGTTTTGAAATGGACTGTAGTCCTAGGAGGGAAGATATCGCGAATATCTGCCCGCCGAGTGCTTCTCAGTAGCCCTTTCCCAAAGATGCCATATGCAACTTATGCTTTTCACAACCTTGTCAAAACAAGTGCTAGTTGCTGAAATCGCGTCCATATTTTGAATTATTTTCAGAAAAGCTCAAACGTTGCTAATATCGCAACCTAAATTTGGAGAGTTGTGCAAAAACCACCAAAATAGAAGCGGAAATAGCAGAAGTGCAGCAACAGCAAACTCGTACACCCCGGCCTTCCTGCTGTGAACCACCACTTTCCACAGTGCCAGTAGCCTGTTGCATGTATCCTACATCATTCCAGTGCACGGAAAAGGGAATGCACATTATCGTAACTACCGTTGATCTACTGTTTCTCTGAAATGAGTCTGAAGGCAGGCGAGAAATGACCGAATATGCATTTGTCTGACATGTAGTCGGTGACTTGACATTTTGACCTCATGCGCCTTGATCCTTGAAGGGTGGTGGCGTTCCAACGGATGCGGAAAGCCCGGCTTCCAGCCGAGTCTCACGCGAACCGTGAATTTTTTTTTATGGGGCCAAGGTTGCGGAAAAGTTGCGAAATAGTTCGCGAAAATGAAGAAAGTTGCGATATCTTCCTAAACAACGAAAAGTTGCAAAAAAAGTGGCGAGCATCTTTGGGAAAGGGCTACTTCTCAGGGCAAAGAACACGCTATACGTGCCGTGCTAAATGCATCATGATTGGCTTCTACCATGGTGATTGTCATGTGACATGTCATAAGTGTATGCGTCACGATCATGTGCAACTTGAACATGTGCCAAACAGCTCAGACTGACCTACATGTATATCCATTCATAAAAAGATGGACTTCTACCAGTTGCAGGTTTTGGCCATAAATAGGGCTAGACTTTGAGTTTTTTTGGAAATCCACTATGGAATTCTCTTCCAATTACATGTTTCTGAAGTCTATTTCTCCAAGAAGAAAAAACGGTAACGAGTTCTAGTTAACGTCATACTCGGCTTTACCGACTACATATTCAAGACTAATAATTATTATATCTCAAGAATTGCTTGCCGCGGACACCCTGTTAGTTTCAGAATCACTGTGTTAGTATAAAGACGAACAACCTAGTAAGTACTAGTATCGACCCAGGCGGGTAGATACCCGTTACCAGTTCCAGGGAGTACAACAAATGGCTTATCAGGGAGTACTATTACCGGGCTGTGGTTCAATGGTTACAACTCCCTGCTGGCATTAGTCATAGCATCTAGTAAAGTACTTCAGTAGAGTCCTACACGGAGACGATCTCTCCCCAATATCTTTTGAATTGTGGTGTTCCTCAAGGCTCACATCTTGCACCCCTCCTGTTTTTAACCTAAATCAATACCCTTCCCGACACATTAACCCACAACGCCCCTTATTTATTTGCTGATGATGTAACACTGCTCAACACTCATAACATCGGTTTACCTGTTGGTGAGAATCTGACCAACTTCCAGATGGATTTAACAAGCTGCCAGTGCTGGGCTAGAGGCATTCACAGGGAGTTTTCTGCGGCACAAACCACCATGTTCTCCAACTATGCTCCTCCACCCTCTTCGTCTGTCCAACTGGACCGTCTCACTCAATGTTAAACGTACCGTAATCCATCTAGGCGTAGAGATCAGCACTAGTCTTAAATTCCATGCAAGATCATTTCACTACCATGCTCTGGGCCGCATGGAAATTCTGTCGTTATTCGCGAATTGTCGTTATATATCCGCAGTCGTTATTAGCAAAGTCGACTGTACATGTACATACAACATATCACTGCTGTGCATTCGGGTGTTCATAGTCTCATACGTGTACCATGTGGCTATGCAGAATGAGCTACACGACAAAAAAAAACAACAGTTAAACCTGTAGCACTATGATGCAATGCGAGTCGGATCAGAATTGAATTGGACAGATGTTATTACTACAGGCGATACATTTGTACTAATCTGGCATGTTTTGCTACACAAAGTCCATTTGCTGTGTTCACAACTGGCGTGTGAAACCACGCGTATGTACATATTTTTGCTGGCTTTTGGGGCGCCACTGGAAGTACGCCGAAATGGAAATTCGAACATGTTGGAATTTTCAGCGCGTATCAGGCGAGTACCAGCGTACATGCCAGTCACTTTGACTGGCGGGATAAAAAAATACCGGAAGGCATATGGCACGCCCTAAATATGATTCGAATTGCTGTTTGTTGTGAAAGCCTGAGCGCGCCGCGGCGTTTGGGCACGCATGAACCGCAAGCGTACCGCGTCCATGCGCCAGTTGGGAACACAGCTTTAGGACTGATATATTCTACTATGCGATAACATTGCTTGTAAGAATAAATGTTCACTTGAAACCCATGACTGTTATGATTATGAAAATATGAGAGTTCATTCTTGTAGGCAGTATAATTTACACGCACTATAACCGATGTGCACTGTACAATGTACATGTAATGACTATGTGAGCTGGAATCTGGTCGTGCAATCCTGTGTACACTATTGTCAATAGCCCGTTTGTCTATCTTTACAGTTTATTTTTCATTCCTGTTTGTGTGCTGGGGGGGGGGGGGGGGGGGGGATTTCGGTTGTGTCTGCCTGTTTTCGCCAACAATTTACTTACTTTTACTTATGCCATGGGTTTTCTTCTCTCAGCTCATCCGTATGCTCAAGCTCAACAGCCAATACCGGTTGAATGTCATCACCCATGAGTACTGTTGTGAGCTTATCACTGCAGTCACTACACATTATAGCAATAAAAACTGCTTTTTTTAGGCCCCGGTCACACCGAAACATAATGGCACACGAAAAGCTGACAGGATCGCTTTTCTGTCATTACGTTTTATATATTTTACCTAATTATAGCTCACAAAATCATGCATTTTTTTGTTCCTGCCGCGGCGCCGGTGAAAAAGCATCTCAAGGCCAGCTGAGCTCGTGAGCTGATCTGAGTGCTTTACTTGCTGATGAATCGGGCTTGGTGGAAGTAGACTGTATTTGAGAAAAGCTTCGCCATTCCTAATCCTATCCCCACACGTATCGATATCGAGGATCTGGTGACTCTGGAAAAATAATTTGGACGTTTGCGTATCATTCCGTGCAGAAAGTTTTGAAAACTTGAAGGTGTTGACTGAAGTCGTTAGTAAGAACTGGAGCCAAATCGTATTGATAGTTTGCAGGCTGTTTACGTTTAGCATTTTACCTGACAACCACCCTCTGTATGTAGGACGGGGCGAGAGGCTGTAGCTGGTGACATTTCTACTGTATCTGATACATATCCGGATTTGCAGAAAGCACACTGCTGGCCCGATTTCATAGTTCATACCAAGCAGTGCAGCGTGTACAGAACTTTACTTGTGCTGGTTGTTCTGTGGTCATGGCTAGTGGCAAGACTGGCAATAAGGGCTGGAACGACCCACCATCTATTGGTGGTATGACTGGACCCTCCTCTGTTTCCCCTGACCCCGCACTGGCCGGCAATAGCGGCACGCAAGGCGGTGATGTGCCAGCAGCCTCTACGGATCCGCAAGGAGTTCAAGATACGTCCATGTTGCTAGCCAACCGTAATTTCATTGCCGAGCAAGTGAAGATGTGGCAGGAGCGCTGCACGCCAGGGCTGCCGGCCAGACACGCAGCGGACATGGACCGGCATCTGACGGCAATGCTTGGTGACCTGGAAGGTGGTCGGCTGTCGGCCGCACTGGAGGGGTGCCTGCATAGGCTTCTCTCACTGCTGACCGAGGGTGACCGGGCTCAAGTTCACGATGCACAGTCGGTGATCATCCTGAACCATGCCAGTGAGATCTCTTCCTGGATGCTCGGCATCAAACGATTGGTTCATGAGGCCTGCAAGCAAGCCAGCTAGGGTCAGCTTCGTTGATGTGTGCAACTAGGGGAAACGATTCCATGAGAAGCACTTCACTGGCATCTGGAATTCTCCCTGAGTGCATTTGCTACAACAAACTGGCAGTTCCTGTAACACAGCCCACTGACAGTGGGATCTTGCCCTGGTGTGTAATGCACAGTTGCTGTAACACAGCCCACTGACAGTGGGATCTTGCCCTGGTGTGTAATGCACATCAAACCTGGGTACATGTTGTTGATCTGCCTTGTTTTGACAAGCTTATTTTGTTCGCTGTGCCGCTGAGCTGGTCTCTGGTGGAGCTGCGCAAAGAGGACTTTGTGTGCTGTGCACATTCAGCATTCTATGTCCAATGTGCTGCTTCTCTACAAGTATGATCTTGCCGTCAGCTTGTGTACGGACGTGCGTGTACAGGAGCGGACAACACCAGCCAGCAAAGAGAACCCAGCTTGTCATATGACGGTACAGTTTTGGCATGGCTCCTACCCATCAGCATTGACCATAGCACACAGTATCACACATGCACTGCACGTGCTACGTATGCCCCCCACGTATGCCCCCACTCTGGTCCTGGTCGGCCTTGGAGTGAATGTGTGCCAATGCGTTGTCTGTACGTGGTCAAACCCTGTTAAGACGTATTTATTATTTATTTTATTTTTTAATTTTCTTTATTTTGTATGAACTCTCTTACGAGATATCTTATAGATAGCAGCAGCTTTAGTTTTAGAGAAACTCTTCTTATGATTACAGTGGTATGTCAGTCAGCACCGGGAGCCAGGACGTGGTGACACACCGCTGTAGGCTGCTGGTTTTGGCCACATTGTAGTCGTGTTTTCCGATTTTGAACGTGTCGTTGAGAACCGCCGTAGCACAAGAAGCAATGTGTTCTCCTGATCTCTGACGTTTCAAAATTAAAAAGCGATAAATTTAGTAATCCAATGCGGCCGTGATTGGGTTAGAGGATAGGAGGTAACCATGGTAACGTTATGCATCCAATGGTTGTCACCTTTTTATGGGGCAGCTTATCCCCGTATTTGCCAGGCACAACCAACTCTAGTACATTAGTGAATGTGACAGTAATCACAACATGACCTTTTTATGCAGAGCTGCATGGGATCACAGTGAAATAACAACAACAACAACTCTTAGGGGCCGGTCACATTTTATTATATTTAATAGGGAACAATCCTCAGATTATAAACCGGGAATAATTTTTTCTACTTGTATGTTTCATCACAGCCACACTGGATACGCACAATGAAAAAATCTCACCCGCACGAGCTATTTTTTTCACCATTCGCTTCTGGCAGTCTGTCAGCCCCGTTCCTGGGCCAGAGCTGCATCAGGTCAGCCTCTAGAGTATCGCTCCACTTCACGAATCATAACACAATAAAAACAAGGAAACTCAAAGAAATCCAGTGGAAGCCGCGGATGATTATAATCTTCGGCGGAAAAGCAAGGCCTCGAGCTGATTTTCATTGAGTGGATTAAATCTCTCAAATGTCCCGCTCAGCGACAAATATCCATAGTAACCACGGATTTTTTCAAATGTTCGCTCAGTGTGACCGGCCCCTTATTGGGAAACAACAACAACAACAACAAATTATAGCCTCAGGGGGATGCCCGACCTTTGCACAACAAACACTAGGCTGTGCACTCGAACACGTTGCTACTTTATGCATGGGATCGAGCCAAGTTGGCTGGCAATTCCACCATCGCAGACCCATAGACAATTCCACCATCGCAGACCCATAGACTATACTTGCACACTCGCGGGGCTTATCTATTCTGCACGTCACCAGTATTGTTCTTTATCAGACAGATTGTCACAGTATTATCTGTCGGTACCATTCAAGCAGTGGACATGGAACAAAAGAATGCTTCTAAGTTGATAGATAATGGCTATAGTGACTGCATATACAGGTACATGCATTAGTAGCTTCTCATTACAAAAAATGCTCCATGGTGGTGGAGCTTGCCATACAGCACCAGTTGCTGACAGATGTGTGGCGGTGCCACACTGAAAAAAATGAAACCCCTGCCGGCAAAACTATTGCGTTTTTTTTAATTAACAGAATTAACGCTTTGCTCAAGGCCAGACTGATCGCATCAGGCAATTGATGAGAATATACTGAGGCCGGCACAGTGCACAGTAGTGTGGTCATACTGGTTACTAGAGTAGCACAACTCTCCACATTCTCATGCATTACTATGGTACAATACACAGTTAATTAATGACAGTATCTAATTCGGCTTTAATACTGTCTTAGCTGGGTTTGTAGAAGATAACAGAAGTTGACCTGTACTCTTTGTGACTTTTTGGCAATGTTCTAGATAATGAATTCAGTGGTAGCCATTGCCACAGTTCAGATCATTCTGACTGCGTGTTGTGTCCGGACAAGAGGCCATCTAGTCGCATCGCGCACGCTTTCCGGCGGTCCGGCGGTGTCAGTCAAGGTCCTTCGTTGTCGGTGACAACGGCTGCCGCGGCACTGGACTCCACGGCTGCTGTGCTCAGCACCTGAGCATGGAGCGGAGGTGGCCGGCTGTCCGCTTCCACTACGCCTGGACATTGCAGGGCAAAAAAATACAGTGCAGAATATGTTTAGTTCATCCAGGAGTGGGGAATGTTCAACTAAAAATAGTTAACCGTGACAGTGCTTGTCAATGGGCAAGACACAGGGATTGTGGGTGACGGTGTCAAGCAAGGCTGGTAACCATGGTAACTACCGGCACTACTAACTAGAACAGATAACCATCTTCCACAACTTTGCATTGCATACACATACATGTACATAACTATAACGTTATGTCGGGTAGATGGTAAGCATGCGGGTGTTGTCAAAGGAAGGGAGCTATGCAGCACTGGCGTGACTTCTTCTTTCAGTGTCAACGGCGGCCCGTGCAATCCCCCGCCTTCAAGGCTTGGTCCAGTCACTGCCAGCAGATGTGTCAACCTACCATGAATGAAGCCGCTTTTTAACATTGAATCTGACATGGACCCATACCGAAGTAGAGATGTGCGTTGATCCTTAGGCCAACCTATCTGTGCCCTTCCAGTAGGTTTGCGCCCGGCATAAGAGCAGCATTTTTGATGCTGACTACAGTTGAACCGTACCTATCTGGGCCCCAGGTATCGGGAACTCAATTATCCAGACTAGCATTTCCCAGGGGTTACAGCCTCGACGATGATACAGGTGTCAACAGCCTTTCTCCTCTTCTTGCTTCGACTGTGTACATACATGTACGAATCATATCTAGAGTTATGATAGATATAGTGCTGAAAGAAGGGTTGGAATATTTCCTCCGACCAAAGGCGTCTGGAAAAGTAAGGGTCAGCTGTTTACAGCTACTTCAGTAGACGTTCAGCATGCGCTCCCTGCACATACGCCAGCAATAGAATGCGCAGTCGCTTGTATCTTCTAACCGACATCCAGTATCATACAGTTGCTACCATCCTGTTGCTTTACACACCATTTTTTCTGTGAATTTCGAGCAGATCTGGGAAATGCTTGACTTTAAGCCCATATTGCGTAATCCCTTCTGCTCAATGGCAACTCACCTTCTCTCTCTCGCGCAAATTTCTCATCACTGGCCATGACCAGGTCGTGAGCAAGCTGTGAGTCTCCGAGCCGCATCTCCAACGCGCTGATCTTCTTCGTCATACCCCTGGTCACATTCTGGCTATGGCGACGGACTAGCGTCTGTCGACGCTTCTGCCTGTCTTCTTCCCCTCCCTGCTTCTCGGTGCTGGATGCACACAAACAGAAAAGCACACGAAACGCTGCGTCAGAATGATGTTGATCAGCCCCCTTCCCAACAACAAAAAGTACGCCCATCCGGAGATGACAGCAGGTCTCGAACGGGACCCAAGCAGTGATCAAGTCACGATCAGAATTCAGCATTGCGAACCAAGTCCTGATGACAGTGATATCTCTTGCCACATTCCAGCGCGCGTGCGTGCGTGCACACACACACACACACACACACACACACACACACACACACACACACACACACACACACAAACACACCAGGGCCGGAGGAAGCAGTTTGAGACTGATCCGGCCGACCCTTTTTGGGGGGGGGGTCCGGGGACCTACCCTGGGAGAAATTTTTGAAAATTTACGTAAGATAGAGCGAATTTGGGCATCTCGTGAGGCTCCAGAAAATGCGGAAAATCATAGTCAAAGTACAAAAACACAATTTTTTTATATCCGTTAGTGACACAGTATCAGTGATGGTAGCATTGAACATTGTAAGGAATTGGTAAGAAAACGATCGATGAAGACTATGATCTCGTGTCGACTTCTCCGTGTATGCTATTGATACGATCGACTCCCTCACAGGGCCTCAGTACCTGACACGGCCTGGTGTACATGTACATGCATGCCGTGTACGTGCGCGCACACTCTGCATGGGCCATGGGCTTATCCGGCATATGAAACAAACGATTATTTTCTCTGCTTTCGAGATCTTATCTCTTTCGATCTAGTCTCTTCTGTCTTGTGCGATGTTTTCGCTCATTTCCAATGTTGGCTAGTGCATGCATTTTCGATAGGAGTGACAGAAGTACTTGGTGGAAGGTGAGCTCATGAGGTCGTGCAGCAGAAAAATCCTCGTCACGGAGTCTTGAGCTACTTCAAAGCACACGGCATGTCGACAGTACAGTCATATACCTCTGAATGTTTTACACCGGTTTTGCACGAATCACATGGACCATCCAGCCAAGAAAGTGGTCCGGTCATGACCGGACCAGTTCCGGCAGCCCTGCACACACACACACACACACACACACACACACACACACACACACACACACACACACACACACACACACACACACACACACACACACACACGTGCGCGCATACACACGAACATAGGCAGTGCTTGGCCGGCAGCGTTACGTGCATCTTACCTTCTGCTCTGCGCCTGATGGGCTTGTCTCGTTCGGTCCACAACCCGGGAAAGCTCTACTTTAGGCCTGCCCCCAGAGGACGGTCTCGGTTGCGCACTGAGCGGGCCCAAACCCTTCCCAGTTGGAATGAGTGATGGCGGCAATCTCGGTGGCTCTGGGATGGATTCTCCTCCTGGCATTGGCAGGACGGGCGCAGGTGGAATAGCCTGGGCATCACATTCAGGAGACATCACATTCGGCAAACATCAAAGCGTTAGCTGAAGTGATAGACTTCCCTACACGTTCATTTCGCTACAAACAGAACCATTTCAAGCAACAGCAATGGGACAGACTAACAAGTTCAGATTGAGTTTTTAAAAGCGGTGCCCAAGCACGGTAAGTGTACAGTGATCTCGTCATCTCTACCAACTCATTGTGGCAGGTGACTGGATTCATTCATTCACAAAACATCTCCTTGGACACTTACACCGTCCACAGCGGCGATGCCAGTGTTGATTGTGGCTCCCACACGACTGTCACCGGGTTTTGCCGACAGCGACAGGCCCTCGTGCAGATTGATTCCACTGCCGTCGTCAGCGGCCTCCAGCTGCACGAGCACCGGGTTCATCTGCGCTCCCTGGACGCGCACCACTGCCGACGCAATCTGTGCCGGCTCCTGCACCTGACGAGCAGGCTGCGCACACGCACACACACACCCACACACACGCACACACACGCACACACACAATCATAATTATAGAAATGTCAGTGCGCATGGCGAGCATGACATGGCATGACGCGCTGTCTAAACACAGCCTGTACTATTCATGGCATGGCACGGTGTGCAGTTTAAACACAGCCTGTACTATTCATGGCATGGCACGGTGTGCAGTTTAAACACAGCCTGTACTCTACTTAGTACTACCAATGACTGCTTGCACACTGTGGCGGCTATAAACGACATTGTATAAGCAACACGATTTCCTAGCAACTCTATCGCTGTAGTAATAGGTGTAACTGTACAGCGAGTGAAGCAAGTTACCGCAGAATCTCACTGTGAACAGCCGACTTGTCCGCCTGAACAGTCTCCAAGCTAGCCTTGACATGCAGAAATTGTCCACGCAGACATGCACGGACATCCAAGTACATGTATTACTGCTTTAGGGGGGTTGACCTGGATCGGTTGGATTCCTGAATTCAGCCACTATCATTTACCCTGCCGGACCTAAGAGGTGTTCGTTCGGACCTACAGGTTGTGGCAGAGACTACTGCTTTGCTAGATTTGTTTCCTCTCCATCCCAAGCAGTAGATTCCACCTTTTTCCACCGGCTCTACCAGGTTTGAGGCTGGTGGCAGCCAGCAAAATAGGCTGGTAGATGTGCAGGATTTCTGTTTACCAATGGAAATGGAAGTATTTTCAACGAAACACCCTACAAAGTACTTACTGTATATGCTGCAAAGATGGGTGATTTAATAATTGTGAACTATGCATTCATGATCTACCAAAATGGGTCTATCTCTGTTCGTGCACTTCCATCTACCATCACTCCCCTCCCCGCTTTTTCAAATCTGTTCTTCTGTTGTCTACCAAGCAGTCGCAACGAACACAGGATACGCCCAGCTGATACCATGAAAAGAATAGACAGAAAAGCTCGTTCTCTCTCACACCTCACATTTGCAACAGCAAAACCACAGTGCAGGGTCGGCTGCGGACAGCCACATTGCAAGACAAAAAGAGCTGTTTCACAGCGCTCGCTCAACAACGATTACGTCACTACAGTGACGTCAACCTGCACTGCGTGCCACAAAAAAATAATACAGATAGCAAAAAAACAAGCTTCGCAAATATTCGAAGTTCGAGAGAACATTGCTTCTCGTTTCTTTCGAATTCTCAGCCAACGAGAAGCGTACACTGCACAGAGGTTGCAAGGTTTACAGAACAGACTTGCATACAAACAACAGCGGGACTCACCATCAAAGGAGTGGCCTCTTGCTTCTCGGCCATCTCAGCCTGCAGAGCAGGCACAGCAGCGGCAGCAGCCGCAGCTGCCCCAGCTTCCTCCGTGCTGGTCTCCGTGGCAACCATTCTCGGCAGAGTACTATCAACGTGCTCGGCTCTGTCGGTGCTGGCCTTTCGCTTTTTCTGCAACCAAGCGTCGAAGTCACCTTGGTGTTCATCCTCGGAGCTTGTGCTGGCGTCGTCCGCCACCGTTGCACCGCCCCAGAGAATCTGCGACAGAGTCATGGAATTGCCCTTGGCCTCGGCCTCGGCCTTGGCATCAGCATGGTGCAGGAATTCCGGAGTGTCCTTGGATGGCTGCTCGGCGAGCAAATAGGGATTGGACGTGGCCGGTGGGAGAGCAAGTGATGATGTCAAGTTGCGCAACGAGATACCCTGTTTCAGGTTTCCCAGCACACTGGATCCCCGCAGCTGATCTTCGGCAGACAGTGCCTTGCCTTCCTGGTTCTGACGGCGCGCCTCCTCCGTGCTGAGTGGATCACTCTGAGTCCAGTTCTCGGACTGACTCTCCATTTGCTGGTTGTACTTGAAAGGGTCCCGGGGCAAGAGCGGTGACGGCTTGGGCTTGTTCGATCCCCGCAGCTTGTCCAGGAAGGAGCCAGTCCTTTTCACAGACTTAGCTGCCTTCAAATGCGTTGCGCTCGGAGCAGCGTACGTTTGATCAGCAGGAGCATTGGGCGGCACGTAGTGATGCGGTGCTTTGCGGTACTCGACCTGCGATTCCAGCGGCTTGGCCTCCTCGGTCTCCGGACTGCCGCTCTTCGTTCGCACACCGATCTCCCATTCTCGTGCCGCTGCTGCACCTGCTCCGCTGCTGAGCGCAGCGAGTAGCTTGGCCATGCGTTTCTTCTTGACCGGAGCAACCATAGTGATACCGACTACGGCTGCTGTCAGTGCCAGGGCTGCGATAGTGCTTCCGACCTCGTAGTCCTCTATCAGCATGCTGCTGATGGAGACATTGTCATCGTCAGGTACCTTGGCGTTTGGCGGTCTGGAGTAGATCTTGCTCTGCTTGTGCATGTAGTGCTGCATGCGCCTCTGCACAACCTCCGTGTTCATGTCCTGCGATACATTGCCCATGGACTGCGCTGGACCCAGCATCATGCCCGGAGCTGGTAGTGGTGGTCCTCCCGGGTGTACCATGCCTGGGGGAGCCATCATGTGAGGAGGCGGTGGTACCATGCCTGGATGTGGTACCATGCCGTGTGGTAGTGGTGGAGGATATGCACCCACGTAAGGATTCATCGGTCTCATATTTGACATTCTGCGGCGCTGGGCACGCTGCATTGCTGCTCCCTGCAGGGCTGACTCACTCGAAGCCCTCGGTCGACCCTGAGCTGGTGCCTCTTCGGCCGTTATGTCAGCAACATTCTCGGTCGATCCGTTTTCGTGAACGTCGCTTCTGGCACGGGACTGCTTTCGGGTAGTACGTCGCGGTGGTACCATGCCAACCGGGAACGGCATCCGGACACCGGGTGGGGGCATGCGACCCGGGTAGGGCATCATACCGGGTGGACCCATCATACCCGGGGGGAAAGGCATCATGCCGGGCGGGGGTACCATGCCCGGTCGGAACGGCCTCATTCCAGGTGGCAGTAGGTGCGGTGGTAGTCTGACCCCCGGCGGCGGGAACATGCCAGGCGGACCATAGCCCATCGGCATGCCAGGTCCCAGCGGCTTGTGCGCCATCCTGTTATGGCGCCTTGTTTGCCGGCCAGGAACACGCGACGACCCTCGCACCGGCTGAACACCTGGATCTGCCGGTCCATCCACTTGGTCAGCCGCAGGGTTCGGTTTGAAGCCCGGCTTCAGAGGTCGGAAGCTCTTCTGAATGTAGGAATGCTGGCGGCCCGTGCGCTTGAGAAGTGGAGTGGGCGAGGCTTCAGAGTCATCATTTGTGTCCGAAGCAGCATAGCTGTTGCCCGATGTCATGTTGCGGGGGATAGCCAGCGGTGGTTTGTCACCTGGCTCGTTTCCACCAGAATCCTGGCCCCACCAGCTTCCCGATGAACCAGAGTTTCTTCTGCTTGTGCTCGGTGAAGTTCCCGTCGAGTCCCTGCCCGCTTTCTTGACATCTGCTGCTACTTGTTTGCCCTTGCTGGTTTCATACCACTGCTCAAGATGACCACCGCCAGACTCAGCGCCATCATGGTCACGTCCTCCACGGATTAACGGGTGGCCGTCAATATCGTCACGGTGACTTGCATGCTTTTGACCGTACTTCTTGCTGCCAGGCACCGAGTACATATCGCCATTCTGCGGACCGGCTGTTAGACCACCCACTGCATCGATGTCCTTGCCCAGGACCTTGAGCACACTCTGAGGATGCAGCGGCGACCTTTCCTTCTCGCCCTTCTTCGCCTTCTTCTTGGTCCGAAGCTCCGCCGCTTCTTCCGCATCGCTGAACTGTATTCCCTCGCCGAGAACACGAGCAACGGCCGCCTGCGCTTCCAGGATCTCTTGAGCCTCTACGCTTCTCGTACGAACGGAGAAATCTCTGGTCGGCCCCTCGTCAGACTCTTCGGCGAGGATTTCCTCGGGAGGCTGGGGCACGATCGCCTGTGCCGGCGTGACGTTGCGATAGTAGTTAGCCAGGCTTGACGTTGAGATCTTTTTGTTATCGCCGGCCTTCCGGACCTCGAGTGCGCTCGTGTTGGGTGCACTCTGGCGGCGATACTGTGCCTCCATTGCACCGGAGCTGGCGTACTGGGTCACAAACTCGTCAATTTCCTCGCCCGGTTGACCGGTTGCCAGCGAATACGGGCTTGCACCATCCTGAGCAATGGCCAAATAGGTGCATGTACATGCACATACACACATGTGCACACATATTTGTACACACATACACGCATAAAAGGAATGAGGCAATCAGTCAAAGCTGTTGCTATTCCAGCACACGTGAAAACACAACTGCAGTGAGAAAAACTGCATTGCACACCGTGGGAGACTGCCCTCCTTACCAGAAGCAAGAGCAATGAGCAGGGAGACGTGCACACTAGCTAGCCTTACTACGGTGCGGGTAAAAGCGGTGTTTAAAGGCAGGTGGTCTCCAGAACAAGGTCCAATAAATTCACGACATACAGGGCCAAGGCCGTGCGCATACTCCATGTACTCACACAAGCGCGGCCGGACCGAAAACAATGTTTTAGATTAATCATGCATATACCCAGTGCTCCGATTCATCATGTGTATATACATGTACGTGAATACGATCATATTTGTCCTGCCATGCAGCCAATACCAGATGTCGCTTAAACCAGGCATTCCTGCCCGCACTAAAAAAACACTGCATAACGTGCAAGTGTTGAACCGGCAGAAGTATTGAATAAGATTTCTGTGGAACAAATCCAATCCTCACCCGGTCTGTAGCATACAGGTCTGCACCGTGGCGTAATAGAAGCTTCAGTGCATCCACTTGTCTGGAGAGGACAGAACAGTGCAGAGATAAAGGGGGACGAGTTTGGTTGATACGGAGGGAATTCCTTTACACTTTTCTACTGTATATGTACCTCACGAGATTCTCACGATGGGCATCAACTTGCCTTTGCCAGATCAATCAAATTTAAATCGAAAAATAGACAGAATGATGTAAGGCTTGGCAGTCGTGTGCAAGCGCGCAAGAACAGTTGCAAGACAGGCTTAAAGTTGGAAACTTGCAGCAATTTATAACTACCAGCTTGAGACAGGGCTACCTGTCAACAGCCGGGAAAGTTGCCATAGAGCCTTCCCCGCCTGCGCTGTCCCTGTATGGAATGCCCTGCCACCCGCCGTCCTCAACCAGCCACCTGACCGGAAACGGCTGCAAAGTTTCAAAGTGTCTGTCTTCCGGCACCTCCGTGCTCAGCAATGGCACTGGGCCACTGACACTCTGTAATATGTATGCACATCTGCCTAAACACTGCTGCATATTGCCATACGCCTTGTGCCCTGCTGCTTATCCTTTTCTATGGATCTGAATGTGCACCCCTTACGCATTATATAATTATATTATACAAATCTGCAATTATATTATATTTAGTTCTCTCCCCCTCTTGTGCTCCCCAACCCCCCCCCCCCCTCTCTCTCTCTCTCTCTCTCTCTCTCTCTCTCTCTCTCTCTCTCTCTCTCTCTCTCTCTCGCTCTCTCTCTCTCTCTCTCTCTCGCTCTCTCTCTGCTATTGGCGCGCCTGGTTGTGATGAAGCCGAGACCCAAGGTCGGCAGAGCATCCCAGACCACGCCACCACTCCCCTTATTCATGGCTCACACATGACGGGTTTACGTGGCTCCAGTGAAAAAAAAATTGGGATTGATCTCCATGATACATGTAGTTATTAATTGTGTGTAGTAGGTGATACAGAGTGGGGTACGATGCACTCCTGCCATGAACAGAGTGCTAAAAGAAAGAGATGTCTGGAAATGTGTTTCGAGTGTTCCTCTACAGCATCTTTCCATACATTTCATTAACAAGTAGTATTTCCCAATCACACAATCTTATAGGTGTATACCATTCCATGACCTACTCGTGCAAACATTATGAGTTTCAGTAGATAGTTTCTCACCCGAACTCTGCTGCATCATGTGCTGGTGTTGCATCGGCATTGTCACACAGTCGTGCTAGAACATTCGGCTCTGGGTGCGTGTCGAAGAACCAGCGCAGTAGATACGTGTAGCCTTTGGCTGTATAGCGATTGCAGACAGTGGAGAGAGTGCAGAACACAAATACCCAGACATACACACATACGCATATTAAATATAGACCCAATGCTGTACACACGCACACACACACACACACACACACACACACACACACACACACACACACACACACACACACACACACGCGCACACACACACACACACACACACACACACACACACACCGTCACACACCGTCACGCACCGTCACACACACGCACACACACACACACGCGCACACACACACACACACACGCACACGCGCACACACACACACGCACACGCACACACACACACACACACACACACACACACACACACGCGCGCACACACACACACACACACACACGCACACGCGCACACACACACACACACGCACACACACACACACACACACACACACACTTCAAGCACACATAATTATACATTGTAGTGCAAATCATAATATTATTACACATAGTGCAGTGCAGCAGCGGAGAAAGGCACGGGCCGGTACACAGTACTGTACAGCAGTGGAGCATGGCTAATTTGCTGCAAATCTGAGGATCATGCTCATAGTGCAATCATACCCCCCCCCCCCCCCCCCCCCCCCTCTCCCACCCCCTTACCCTACCTTATAAATTCTAAAGACACACTGATGAAAGAAGTTCAGAACTATTAATTATGGATGCACCCATAGGCACGGAAGCAACATATCTGGGGGAGGGGGGGGGGGGGTACTAGTATTAGCTTATAAGGTAGTGCAGTACTAAGATGACCGACACATTCATGTAGTTGATTTGAACACCACATTGCATACAGGTAGTGGATACAAGTACTCGGCTTGGCCTATACAAGTATATAGATAAAAGCACCCTGTAAAAATGTTACGCTTGGTGACAATTCTAGCACTGTAGTAGGTTGGTTGGGCTGATTCTGACAGACCCAGTGCTCTCCATGGCTTACCTGCAGCAAAGTGAACTGGCGTAGCACCGTCTTTGGTCCGATCAGCAATGCCATGTGTTCCTATCTCCCCAATCAGCCACTGAGGAGGTTGACATTGACACATATGCGCACACAATCAAACGCATTACGAGATTGTTCATTGGGTGCAGTATTATTTCAAGAAGTACATGATGTGCCACCTGAGGCAGCAACCACCACCTGAGAATGTGCCTGTTGCATGGCTCTGGAATACTAGTACTTCGATGGGCAATCTGAAATGCATACAGCAGTTTGTATAGTTTGGATTAAGCCCAAGCAAAGCAATGCACTGCAAGGTGCAGTGCACATGCACCGCTCCCCTACCCGCACAGTCTCCAAGTGACCGAGTTGAGTGGCGGCATGCACAGCTGTCATGCCGTCGTTGGCGCGGATCATCGGATCACCTGTGCACTCGGTCACCAGGTACTGAAGAGCCACTAGCCGACCTTCCTGCGCTGCAAAGTAGATTGGTGTGGCGCCTAGACAGACACACGGGAAAAGAGAATTTGACACAAATGCCGTGGTATCAGTTGCCGCAGGCAAACAACGGAAATCAAAAGTGAGATACAGTTCGAGCTTGGCAAGAGAATCAAGGAATATGCTGCCTTCCACTGTTCGCACTTGTACAGACTACCGCTTATTTATTCGCTCATGCTTGCCCTTCCTAGGAGATCCCGTAAGAAGACCATAGGTCTGTGGGAAACACCCTAGTAAAATAAAAGTTATATAAGTTAATAATAATAATAATAATATTAACTGGTTTGAGGGAAAGAGACAAACGGGAAAAGTCTGAAGAAAAAACTGACTGCCACCACCAGGACTCGAACCAGGGACCCTCGCTTGTAGCCAGCGATGCTCTAACCACTGAGCTATGGTGTAGTCGTCATCCCAGCAGAGGCCCTTCAACATTTTCTTCAGACTTCGTAACTCACACTTCCTGTGAATCCACACAGGCGGGTGGGACGCAGCCCTCACTGTAACCCACACACTTCACGTACAAACTAGCACGCGGGGAGCCCCAAGTCATAAAATATTAACTGGTTTGAGGGAAAGAGACAAACGGGAAAAGTCTGAAGAAAAAACTGACTGCCACCACCAGGACTCGAACCAGGGACCCTCGCTTGTAGCCAGCGATGCTCTAACCACTGAGCTATGGTGTAGTCGTCATCCCAGCAGAGGCCCTTCAACATTTTCTTCAGACTTCGTAACTCACACTTCCTGTGAATCCACACAGGCGGGTGGGACGCAGCCCTCACTATTAATAATAGTAAGGCAGAACACTGAAATCGGTCTGGTGCACCGTGACAGTACAACTTCCCACGGGGCTCTGTTACTTTGTAGGGGCATACTTGCCATTTCGCGGTGTCCAAAAATCCCCCCCGAGACACCGGCTATGTCACTTTGATTTAGTGATGGTGAAAATTATGTTTCCCACCGGCCCAATGGTCCTGGTCTGTCATGCACATCCATAGTGTCCTAGACATGTGTTCTGGGTTCCTCCAGGGGCTGGCTGGCGGCAAAACACAAAGCATAGGATGATCACACTTTCTCCGCCACCAAACAAGAACTTGCTTTTTGTGTCTAATTTTGGACCCAACATGGACAGGATGTTATGCTTCTGTAGCATGCCTGGTCTATTGCTCACCCCCCCCCCCCTGGACTTTGAGGCTCCCCCCCCTCCCCTCCCCCGATATTAAGCACAAGCACTCAGCGCAGTCTGTAGACCATGATCTAGACACTATAGACGAGCAGTCATATGCAGCACCTGTCTCATACATGTACTTACCATTGAAGTCTCTGCTGTTGGCCGCGGCAGCTCCTAGATGTTCCGTCAGCAGCTTCAGAATATCAACATTACCTGCACGGGGCGCAGAGTACAAACATGGGGCAGAGTGCAAGCAGAGCATGCATGGGCACCGTGACAGAATTCACTATCAGGAAGAAACCCCCGGAGATCGGGGTAACGTCACATGGAGGGCCAGCAGTATCAACAGGCATGGATGCATGAAACATCTTCGATGCACTGTACCGACATGCAGCGCATCACCTTGCTACATGTACACCTTGGTACACCTAGCACTCGCTCTACCAATACCTGTAAACACAGTCACAGTCAATGTTGATCTTAGGATAATGTCCGTGTGTATACCGTGGTGCTTCATTTCATTATACTCCCAGGCCAGTGTATTGTTTGCTAGAAACGTCAATCGGAACTGAAAATAGTTACGGGCATGTTAATAGGAATAATCTCGTGCATAACCTCCCCCCCCCCGCCCCCCCCCCCCCGTGGGTCGTACAACTGTGTCAGGGTCAGGGTGGCAAACCCTGATACTCCTCCCATGACCAACCTGCAGGGTTGTCCTGTGAAAAGTTGGCAGTCAATAATCTTACTGGAATACGGGTAAAAAATAGAAATACGGGTAAAGTACCAGGAAAACCTTGTACACGCCACAGCCACAAGCAATAATGAAAAAGGATGTTTGGTTTAGTTCAGGCAAGTACAAAGTGAAATCTATGGTAACTGCTTGTGCATTTGCGTAGCTTCTGGAGGATTTCGTGAGTCATTCATGCATGATGGAGTGTAGTGGTGAATCTCCTTGACACATTTGAGCCATAACGTTACAGGCAAGCAATGCCAATGCATACCAATGGTGTGGTTCCCTGACCCTCTGAAGATGCACTAACGAAGTACAAGACTCAAGAGTTTCACTGTGTACCCATCCATGAATTAGTTCCATCATTGAATTCGACGTTTTCTTACCCTGTGCGGCGGCAAAGTGAACAGCCGATGCGCCAAACTCGTTCATGGCGAATGCCGTCGAATGGTAGCGATTCAGGAGCCATTTGATAACCGCCATGTGGTTGTGGATAGTGGCAGTGTGCAGGCAAGTCAGGCCCTGGTTGTTCGCCTCGTTTGCCGCCGTACTCGCTTTCTCCTTGTCGAACTCAATGAGCGTCTCCAGACAGTCCAAGTGCCCATTGAGCGCCGCCTTGTATGCTGGCGTTTCGCCAGTGGTGTTCTTGGTCCGGTAGTAAATGTCGCCATGTCGCAACAGCCAAGTAACGCACTCAAGCTGGCCTTCCTCGGCCGCAATGTGCAGAGCAGTGTCCCCTGAAGTGTCGTCCACGCTCTGGAAGATCGCCACTCCGCTACCGTCCAGCAGCCGCTCAAGACCGCTAATATCGCCGTCCCTGGCGGCCTGGTGCGCGGGCAAGTGCGCAGCAAGCGACGCCGGTATCGGCATGATTCAAACGTTGGTCGTCGCTCTCCTTCCCGCACTTCACACCTTTGGCAGAGCACTTTGCATGCGCAGTGACAACAGCGATGGACGACCAGGCGCCTTGAGAGTTTGCACAAGCCTGGGATGGCCACTCCGATACAGAGAAGCTTCCGATACAGAGAAGCTTTTTCGAATTCCGAAGAGGAGATCTTCGAAGAGCTACCCTCACACTCTGCACGTCAGTTGCCAGCTAGTTGTCGTGTGTATCAGCCTACTCAAGAACACCAGATCGAATAAACGGTTTTGCCCGTTTACGACTCTGCATCCAGTCCGGGCATCTCCGGATACACATTGTCATTATTAGAGCGTAGAGGTCTAAACTACGATGCCAGTTGGTTATCATAGCTACTCCGTAGATCTAGGTGGATCTACTGAGTCTGTGCCACGGATTGTGGCAGATAACATTATGATGATATGGCTAGAGTGCAGAGCCTGTGCAGGGTTGGGTCTTGGGGAGAGAGCTTGACAACCAGTTCTACTTCTACATAATTGCATGCCAGTATCCAAGTCCATGAGATGTCTGCTGGCTGCAGTGTGCTAGTGGCATGTTTCATGTCTGTGGCAACCTCGCCATCCACCAGCCCGCCACCTGGGCTCGGCCTAGACTTGAACACTTCACAAGTACACATGTCATTTTGTACTGCCATTCTGGGAAGGCTGCAGCTAGCTTGCTTGCTTCACCATTGTTTACTCTTCATGAATAATGAGTATTGTACACACAAGTTGACTCTCTCTCACCTGTGTCCTCGGTCCACTCTCCCGTGCTCGCTGCTTGATTACAAGAGGCGTGAAGGCGGGCCACGTTCCAAGATCCCGTGCTAGGGCGGGTATGTCATAACCACGCCATGACCACTTGGCCCCAGCAGTCTGACACACTACCCAGTGACATAATGACACTGACAGAGCATGTCTTGCATGCTAAAGTCAAAATTATGTACTTACTGAGTCTGTAGTACATAATTATTGTATCTAAAACCCTATACTTGTGAAGTTGTGTCGTAAACTACTGATTCAGACTAGACTCCTTGCAGGCAAAGCTTCACAGATAGTGACTGATCGTGCTGGTATTCAAAACTATTGATGCTGCTGCTGCTGCTGCTGCTGGTGGTGCACGGTGGTAATTCTGCTGCTGCCGCTACACTAAACTCTAAAGGAGTATTGTATGAAAGCAAGAGTAGCACTCATGTAGTTCTCCATCAGTTTGCACTCTGCAGCCAGCCGACTCGTTCACGGTTTAAATTCGGTCATAATGCCTCATTGGGTCTCGGATCCATTCCATACTGATTTGAGACGGATTTGAGAGGATGCTAGCCTACATACATGAACATGTACAATGTATACGCAAAGTAAAGATAGCACCTCCGCTTTATCACCGGCTACGTAATTGTGTTTAGAAACACAACCAGCTTAGGACGTTTCCGTTGCGCCAGCCATCACCATGATCACCATGTCTTACTATCAAGGTGATAGATGCAGTACCAAGCCACGACTCCTGACAGTGGTAAGATAGCAAGCTCACAGTTACATGTAGTTCCGGGAATGGGGCTACACATGTTACAACAATTATTCATCAGCACTCAGCCGAAGGCCGGAGATTGGCACCCACTTTTAAAATTGTTTTAAAACGATGATGATTGTATTGAAGTGCAGAACATAGCTGTGTTGTGCACACCGAACCACAGACTGTTTACAACACATCTCACAGCCTCAGCAGGCCCAGCTCAGGTATGCGAATGCATAACGTATAATCTTCCTCACTCCTCAGCCTACTCAAGCTCAACTGCTGAGGGGTGAATTCCCCGAAAGACTGTATTGAGCAGGGAGTGGTGCTTTCTTGCAGGTTTGCCGAGTGGAGGGTTCGATGGACTTCTCGTGTGCTCTGGATGGCAGTCGTGAGTCAGTCAAGTGAGAATCCAAGTGTCATGTAGGAAGCAACACACAATTCCTCATAACGTACAATTTGCACATATCCAAAACTGCTCTGTAGCAGTGAGCAACTAACAGGATCAAAGAGGATGCTACACAAGACCTTAGTGCAAACGGTTGGGCAAGGTTCAAGGAGAAAATCCGACATGCGCTGGCTAATATTCCGTACTGCCTGCGTATACAATCATGATTGTACATGTAGCTCAGAGTTTTTTAAACTTAATATACATGTACATGATGTAGGCATGGGCAGATTCTGCTCGAAAAGCAGTGAAATTGGCAGAACCATACAAACCTTATGGCGGGCAATTCCTCGAATTCTGCTCCATTTCTTTATCCACATACCAAACATGCATGAAACTTACCAGAAAAAGTACCGAATTCTGCCAATTTTTCTGCCGGCATTATCCGCAAAGGCCTAACATGATGATTGTGCATGGCTGCATGCACATGCGTCAGTACATGCACATGTATAGTAAAAACTACTAAAAACGTGGAGAAGCCACAGTCTGGCCTAGACATATGCAGTGCATGTCCGGAGGGGGGCCGGAGCAGAGGACAACCTCAGATAATAGTACTGCCGGCACACTAACATGCCGGCACACTAACATCCCGTGGCCTGAGTGTTCCAGAGTCCAGACAAACGTCCCATAACGCCTAGCAAGCAACTGGAATGTCATTTTTTAAACAACAATACCATCTTTTTTCATTATGATCCTTGAAATCAAAAACAAACAAAGCTGAGTGCTCTCTTCTAATCTAACCAGGGAGTCGTAAAAGCCCTCCCTGCTTCTAACTAGCCAGGGACAATGGTCCTTGCAAAATGGCGACGGGGCGGTTACTGTGTGTCGTCATTCACACCTCCGCGTGAATGATCGAACACAGACACACACACACACACACGTGCATGTCATGATAGTGACTGCTACAAAGATCGGACAGATTCAGAATGCATACGATCCGGAGTAAAAGTGCGACTGAGCTGCTGAGCTGAGGCAGGTGTCTAGAAGAAAGCCAGCCTTTAGTTTAGACGTTCACTTCCAGTTCCACCGGTACTGCACTACATCAGTGTGACATGCGCAATACAAACGATTTGGTGCATGGCGTGCTTCAGCCTTCAGGCTGAGATTCTAATGTTGTCAAAGTATCAGTTTACCCACTGTCAGTGTCACAACGCTTATGAATATGAGCAGAGAGATAAGTGCTGATGTATTATTGTACTTTACTGTATATGGTGTTGTATCACTGACTGGCGTTGGGGCGCAGGGAAAAAGAGGAGGAGGAGGATCTACGAATCCAAGACTAGCGACTCGCCAAGGGCGAGGAACAAATCACCACGCCACTGTCGTCCATGATCTGCAAGAAGCGAGACGTGGAATTGAAACATGGGAAGCTAGAGTTGTGGTTCTTTCTACAGCCATACCCCATAATTCCGCCACTCGCTTCAAGACTTGGTACTTCGAGTAGTAGATCTACTGTAACATGTATATTGTACATGCAAACAGAAAGAATAATATTACAAGTACAAGTATGGTTGTACATGCAGTAGACATGCAGTAGTGATCCGTCCACGGTAAGCAGGAGACTACTCTTCTTTATATCTCCACGTGCAATAATGGCACCCATCGGAATGATCGTGAAAATGCATTCAATGAACAAGTACAGTGCTGCTCAATGAAATCCAGTCACAGCGTCACTCATTCACACACCGCCGGGCGTTGCGCAGCCTTTACTGCTTTAGGCCTGCGAACACTGGGCTTCGAAATGGTGCAAGGCGCAAACTTGAGTGCCGCGACTGGATTTCATTGATCAGGATTGTACCAGTAGAAGGTGTGTGGCGGTAATTGCTGATAATACGATTATTGACCTGCACGTGGCCGATGACTAGATCGAGCAACCAAAAAGACTACATGTACATGTGAATTGTAATGCCTCTTGGGCCTGAAGGCCGCCCAGAGACATAATCATTGGGCGATACAATAGAGTAAATCAGGGTATAAACCATAAACCAGTAACGCAAACAGCTCATGTCCGCACGCATTGATCGTGCGGGAGGGGGGTTGTTACGGTACATGCACCGGCATATATTATGTACAGTGTGTGTAAACATGTGCTTTCAAATGGAAATACATGACACTGTACAGACAAGAAATACAGTATTCATCAGTCCTGGTGTACAAACCCACCCGACCTCGACCTGTCCTCAAGAATTCAACTAGTGCGCGATTGTGAATGGCCCCTCAGGCA